TTTTTTTTTTTGGTTTTTTTTTTTTTTTTTTTTTTTTGCTATATTTGGGCCACACTTTATTGTTCTTCACATATCTTGCAATGCTTTTTAATGAAAACTGAACATTTTAAGCATTATCACAAAGCAACTCTGAAAATAAGATTCTCCTCCCTCATCGGGGTTTGCTGTGGTTGCTGTTTGTTGTTGTTGTTATTTGCATATTTAATTAATTTTATGAACTAATTCTAAAAAGTTTGCATTCTTTGTCATGTGTGGCTACTGAAGACTGATGGGTTAGCTTAGTGGTCAGCTAATGATTAGATAGAGATTTTCTTAAGTGCCCGGAATCAATTAGTTTCCCAGTGTTTGCAAAGGATCTCTTTGTGTATGTTGGGACATACCTTCAACACTCAGGCAGGTGACAATTCACAACTCTGCCTTAGTCTTCATTTTTGGCCCATACAAGCTCAAGGTTAGTGAGAGTTGAGAGCATTCTTGGATCTTTTCAGGGATGTGCATAGCCTTAGGAATGTACCCTACACATGTAGATGGCCTTCTAGACTCCCAGGAATATGTCAAAGCCAAAACTTTTTAAGTACCCTATGGACATCTCATCCCTTAGCTTTTTCTGTTACGCTTTGTAGTCTATTGTCTGCTCCAACTGTTACTACATGAGGCAGCTGTGATATTAAGCAATTGCCTCTGATTATTTTTAACCAACACCCTTGAGAAAAGCCTGTTTTGCATTTTATAAGCTCCAAGGCAAGGCAAATAAAGACAGCCTTGCAAGCAGAGTCTTCCATGCAGCCACCAGACAGAACGAATAATAACAATTCTCTGGGAATGGGATTTTGAAGGAGTTCCAAAACTATTCTTCCCCCTCTAGTGGCTGCCAGGTTGATTGTTTTCACCATGACAGGGAGCTGTTGGTTTTCAAAAGTATTGAAGAGCTGAAGGGGGAGAATGAGAGAAGGCTAGTTAAATTATCATAAATAAAGCTTACTGTTCTTACCAAAAGTCAGCACTTTTTCTTTAATAGATGCTCCTTGGATTATTAAAAGCCTTTGGTTAATTTTCAGAGCTAGGACAAAATTGATTCTATTTATTTTTATCTATTTTATTTTTTGCCAGTTTTCTCATTGCTTTTATGGAGAAGATGATTTTCAGTAGCTCTTACTTCACCATTTTTCCAGATGTCCCATCTCAATTTTTCATTCTACTTTTGAGATTAAATAATTTCTGATGATCTATTTTCAAGTTCACTGATCCTTTCTTCTATCATCTCCAACGTGCTACTAAGCCCATCTGATGAAATTTTCATTTCAGATATAATATTTTCCAGTTTTAGAAGGCCCATTTGGTTTTCTTTTACAGTTTTTATTTCTCTGCTAAGCTCCTTCCAACTATTCACTCATTATGACACTCTTTTCCTTTAAGTCCTTGAACATGTTTATAATAGATACTTTATATTTATCTGCAAATTGCTACATCTTGTCATGTTAGGATCTATTTTTTTTTTTTTTTAAAGATGACTGGTAAGGGGATCTTAACCCTTGGATTGGTGTTGTCAGCACCACGCTCACCAAAGTGAGCAACCAGCCATCCCTATATGGGATCCGAACCCGCGGCCTTGGTGTTATCAGCACCACACTCTCCCGAGTGAGCCACGGGCCGGCCCCTAGGATCTATTTTTATTACCTGCTTTTTCTCTTGACCATGGGTCACATTTTCCTATTTCTTTGAATTTCTAGTATTGTTTTTATAGTATATTGGCCATTTTGGATAATATATTGTAGATATTCTTTATCTTTCTCCGAAGACTATTGATTTTTGTCCAAATACATAGGAGAAATACCAGCTGATTATTTTCACCTTACAGAGGCTTGGCTTTACACTTTGTTAGGAAAAATTTGTTGAAGTTTGCCCTTAATCTTAGACTAAAGCTTAAATCTTAAGACACAGCTTTTCTCCTAAGTTAACACCTTTGTGAGGTTTCAACATATAAAGCCTGAGGTGTTTGTTTACCAAGGACCTCTTACTTGGTGGGACTCTAACTGTGCCTCACCTGCGGCATTCACCAGTTGAAATATCTGCACAGCTTTTTCATCCTTTTCAGTTGTTGCTTTCCTCCAGGGTCCTTGAAGGCTCCTTTGCAAGTACACAGTTTAGGGATCAGCCAAGGATTTGAGAGGTATTTATTTGCTGATGTGGGGGCTCTTCATCTCTAGCTTCCTCCTTTCTGGATTTCCCCCTCAATTTTCAGCCACTCTGATAGTCCTGAACTCTGTCCTCTGATATAACAGGCCAATAAGATTAGGTTTTCTAGTGGTCCACTCCTGTGGTGGCAAGCAAGAACCCACAAGAAAAAAAAGGGGGGGTGGGGAAGAATATTGCATAGTACAGTATTATTCTCTCAAGGAAAAAAATCCCATCCAGTTTCTGTTTTATTTTTGTTGCTCTACTGTGCCTTCATAGAGTTTTTTATATTTTGATCAGGGTTTGTAATTGCTATCTATGGCAAGGTTTGTCTGAATTAAACTACTCCACCATTCCTAGGACCAACAGTAGCCCTGTTAAATTATCCTTCATTTGAAGACTGACTTATAAATACTCGTATAGTGAAACTTTGTCATCATTCTGTTTCCTATAAAATAGAAAATGTATAAGGTAAGACAAGTAAGAGCTCCAGAACTATTACATAGAAAGGTCCCAAGATAAAGTCACAAATTCCAAGGCTATATCTAGAAAGAACATCAAAGACCATCTGGTCTAAGAAGCTGTCATTTTATTGATTACTGTAACATGAGAAGTCATGACGTGCCTAAGCAAATTAGGAAAAGGTTGCTATTCACTCTAACATCGAATATATTAATAAATGTACTTCCTGACTGCTTTATGAAGACACACGGTTGAATGCAAAAATGCAGATTTGAGAAAAAGGTAAATAAGGATGGCTTATTTACAAATTACTCAAAGTATTCTAAATAGAAGCTTCCATAAAGGACAAAAACATTTCATAAAGCTAGATTTATCCACAGTTTTTCAGGAATGGCTCATAAAACAAGGTACACCTGTACTGAAACAAAGTAGAGAGAAAGGGAAGCAAACTATTAGTTATGCATCAGGCTTTAAACATGCATCTCACTTAATCTCTCAAAACTCTGTGAGGCTGGTAGAACTATCACTTCCTTTTACTGAGACAACAGACTCTGGGAGATCAAGCCATTTGTAAGGAGGGGCTTCAATCGCGAGCATATTCTAACATCATAAAAATTTAATTTAATGGTATATTCAAAACAAATATCACAAAACAAAAAAGGAAAGGATTATGGATCCAGATTTTTCTTGAATTCTATTTATATGGTAAGCATACTCATTTTCAATAAATTTATATTTATTTGGAGTGAGTGGTGTCATGGAGAGTTAGGGACAGTACTGTGGAGAAGACGAGATGACTGAAGTTACCAAGTCACGTGGTAGATAATTGGCTGAGATTCTCTTCCAAGACCAAGAAATAATCTTGACTACAAGAAAAGACCATAGCAGAGACCCTGAAGAAAGAGTTGGAATGAGGCTAAAGTATATTCACATAAGATTCACTCATACCCACACTGAGCAACCAATATGGATTTTCACTGAATAAGTTCTCAAATATTGGGCAACCTTTTTTTTTTTTTCTGTACCATTTTCAAGATTTGCAACAAATAATAGTTCTTAACAGTGAACCAATTTTGAGGTAATATCAATATTAAAATCAGCAAACAATATCAGATTCTTTCACACATGATCTCACTTAATTTTAACCCTCCAATGAAGTATTATTATTCCAATTTAGTAGATGAGGAAAGTGTAGTTCAGAGTGGTTAAGTAACCTGGCCAAAGTCACAACTAATAAATGATCAGATCTTCTGACTAAGACTAGTGATCTTTTCACTATACTACAGCTTTCACAGAATTACTAGGAAAATCTCTCTAAACAGTAACAAGCCAGGTGATTAAAAAAAACCAATAATTTACTCTAGGTGCAATATAAATATTTATAAACATTCCTTTTTGATCCTACCTTCAAAAATATGAGAGCATCATTATTTCAAAAATTCTTCTCGGTAACTTGAAATCTTAAAGTCATATTGATAAAATACTGAAAAGGGAAAGGAAAGGAAACTTCTTTTGTGTATACGGTATAGCTGTTTTTAACAGTGGACGACAGTCTGGGCTACCTGTCATCCTTGAATTTAGGACAAGTGTATGAGTGAAGACTGACTCAGCACCAGACTCTTGACCACCTTAAGCTGACTCGGTTATCTCTTTTCTTTGATTATAATTTCCTACCCTGGATGCCCCTGCTCAGCTAGGTCATTCCCACCTCCCGTGTTGTTCTAATTCCGCACCCCGACTGTCCGCCTTCTCCTTCACTCTACCCATCCCGAACTGACTCCTCGCCTTCATGAAGGCCAAAAAAAAAAAAAAAAGACTTCCCCACATCCACTCTCTTGTGGTAGGTCCGCCTCCCACGACACTCACAAACTCAAGTTGAAACTGCTGCCACAGATTCATTGCCCCTCCTCAGGCACGGCATGTGTCCTCCGCCACCCGCCGGCTCAGCTCCGGTTTCGGATCCTCCTCTCAGGCCCAGAGCTTCCCTGCATCTTCCTTTTCCACACGCCCCCTCGGGCCATCCTCCAAGGGTCCTCAGTTCTCAGACCCACAGTTCTGCCCCCTGCACACGCAGAGCCGCTCAGAAGTGCTCTCCTCACATCGACAGCTCCTTCTTCCTCAGACGCCTCAGCTTCCCAGACTCACGCGCCCCGCGCCCCGCGCCCCGGCCACCTCCCCTCTCAGGCCCACGCCCCCCTCGGCCGCCCTCCCCCGTCGGGCCCGCGCGCCTCACCTGGACCCGCTTGGCCGCGCCGATGTGCGTCTGCTGCACGAAGGGGTTGGGCACCGGCGGCGGGAAGAAGGAC